AGGAGGAGGAGGAGGAGGAGGAGAAGGACGGTTTTATAAAGTAACCGAGGGCATGAGTTTTAAGGTTTTCCAACCAAAGTTGGTTTTAAAAAAAAAAAGAAAAAAAAAAGAAATTGCAACCTTATTATTCATGCATCTTTAATGAATTTATAGGATTTATGGACGATGCCAAAATCATAGTTAGATATTGGAGAGAACTAGCTGGGAGAAACATTTCGCAATCTTAAGGATCCCTCAAAGAATTGACACTTTCGGAAATATTATAGGCCTATAGAATTATAGATCTCTACGTGGCAGCGTTCTCAACATTGCTAGGACATTTGAGAGACTAGACCTCAGAATATAACGCCCGTATAAAATCAGACAAAGCAAAATAGTTGTAGAACCCTGAAACCTCTGAATATTTCACTATTTCAAGAATGCCTCATTAGGTATTCGAACCTGAGTCTTATGCACCAAAGCCAAGCATAACGTCAACTGAGCAAACGGCAAGCCGTCCAAGTTTAAGGTACGGCACACTAAAAAGTTAATCTATTGTTTTGTTAATGTTTATTTTTCGCCGCCCCCCCCACCCCGTCCGCATGGATACAATTTAGATAATTTGCAGGGGGCAGACTTCTACGTTATCTGTCAGGAACGACCATGCAGGGTTGAGACGGGATACAACAACAACGTCCAAGCAGAAGGACGGAGATACTCGATAAAAATGTCCCCATACGATTTGACGAACTCGGGTCTTCTGACTACGACGGCGAAACACCTTATACAACTACACCACAGTCACCGGTATACTTAATAATATAAATAAATAGCATTTGTATAGCGCATATCCCCGCTCGACAGCAAGCTCTGTGAGCTTTACACTATATTATTACCCCGGCAGACCATAGAACACTCAGAAACATTCTCAGCTTCCCGGGAAGCATACAGTGCAAGCAACCAAATAAGCGCTCAAACACTAACAAACTGACAAGACCCTATATAGCTGGGTACCCATTCCCACCTGGGTGAAGTGAGGAAAACTCGTGTAAAGTGCCTTTCCCAAGACACAACGTCGGGTCCCTGACAGGATTCGAACCCACGACCTTACGGTTGCGAGTCCGAGAGCCTAACCACTAGGCCACTTGTATATTATTATGAGTGTGGCGAAAATAAGTGTGTAGTAGCGTGTAATTGGCTATTGGCATCGACCATTAGAGTGAATCAGCTTCGGAATCGAGTCATGTCCGGCAGTAGACTACATTGCTTCCCCAGAATTATAAAGTTCTATCTGACATTTTTTGAGCCTTTTGAGTTACTAAGACCATGACTAGGTCACAAACCAAATTATGCTCAATCTGCTTTGTCAAAATCGTAAGATTATTCTGGGATTCTGAGTCGTTATCAAGATATTCAAATAATTGCATACGAAAAAGCTTGAAATATTGTGAAACTCGAAAGTTTTTGACGTCAGATTTCTCAAAACTAGGAACTGAGCTGATAGAACTTTGCTATTCTGAGGTAGTGAACTGGCGGGAATTCTAAGTCTGGCAATCTCGACAGGCACCGGGTGTTGCACGCATGTCAGCATTGACGTGGTGCCACTTATCAGACGACAGATGACCAATTCATTGCCCCAGTCAAATAGCGCCTCGACGCTAGTGGGGAGTGACGTCAGCAAAGTTCTAGTGACCAACCCAGTGCATGACCGTTGCCAGTTTTACACGTATGCGCCTTTGAGTTAGAGAGTAGAGAGCCTTAGTCTGAGAGAAATAAAACCACGGAGTGGAAAGTTAAGAACAGTTTGGACCTGTTTCGCGATTCCGTAACTTTTTATTTTGGATTTCTAATACAAAATTACTGTCGACTCCGTTTGTGTTGAATTCGTTTGAGTTGATCTTCGGTTAAACTGATCTTTTTCTCGGGTCCCAGAGCCTCTTTTCCTTACAGTTCTCAACGGTTAAGTTGAATTCCGGAAGGACTGACCCCCCCCCTCCCCCGACAACATCAACTATCCGTAGTCGACTGTAATTGCAGACAAAATAAAAAATCGTGTATACAAGATAGTTCACTCCTCTCATTGAGACAATTAATAAAAGTGTCCTCAAAATTCAGTGGCGCCCTCTTCGAAAAGGTACGGACTTTGCGAACAGAGTCACCCTACTTCTGTGAAAAACAATAAAAGCGAAACTAACAAACTGTGCTATTATTCCTATTCTTCTTCTGGAGAAACGAAAGAAACTTCAAATCAAAGACTGCAGCGCCATCTGAAGCAACTTCCGCGGACACTTTTTTGACCAAGTGAACTATCTTGTTATGAACGATCTTTGACAAAATACATTACATATATAACTAAGGCTACAAATTAACATAAAGTGTAATGTAGGGTTTGTTGCTATTGTCATAGATTCAATAGACAGGTCTGACATTGTGATCGGCAGAGACAGTGAGTGAGTGATGGGAAGAATAATAACTGCCAGTGTTTTTGAAGCTTTCTGATATTTCTGATTTCTGTTTGTTT